GCTGGGTAGGCAGGAATAAAGGGTCCCGCTCAGGTCAACTTTAGAGCTAAACCCCAGAGTCAGACATCATAACCAGCCGCCAGAGGATCAGCCCATGGGACCAATGGGGCTCCTCCTCTCTGTGCCATGGGAAAACTGTGGGCTCAATGCTGGACTCTTTTGGGGTACACTCCCACCCGCCTGAAGATGTCCGGGCAGGGCAGAGAGGGTGTGACATGGGAGAGGAGGAAAAAAATGTGTAGAATCCCCCACACCTCTTCTTTCAAATGCTGCTGTGTGGTTTTTAGTGCCCTATCACTGTTGTAGTCTGGCTGTGGCCCCGCCCTCTGATCTCAGCCTGGGCGGAGTGGCCGCAGGGAGAGTCCTGACTCCTGATAGTTTCCAAATCGTAGTATTTTCCTTTCTACAGTGATTTTTCCACCGGTGGGTGTGGGTAACTGACGCCCTGCACCTTATACTAGATGCAGAGCTCTGGAGCTGCTCTGTGAAAGCATCTTCTCTGGTTTTTCTGTGCTTCCTCCAATGAGCCTGTCCTACCTCACTCTGCTTCTCCTGCCTCCAAACCGGAAGTCTATCTTGACTGATGCTATTGAGTTTTTCCTCTGTCTCTTCCCACAGTTATGATCAATTTGATTCCTGTGAGGTCCATGTATGTATTTGCTTTTATGTTGTTGGAAAAAAAAAAAAGTATTTGTACTGAAGAAGTCATTGGTCTTGCAAAATCTTGTCATGTGATCCTCAGAATCATTTTTCATCAAGCCCTTATTTTCCAACTACTGGTTGCCCCCCTCTTTGTTTCCAGCCTTTGCATTCCAAATACCAGTAATGAACAATGCATCGTGATTGCATGTTTAATCAAATTTCATACTGAAGACATTGGTAGAATTCTTCAATTTCATCATCACTGGCTTTAGTCATGGTAACATAAATTTGAATAATAGTAGTATTAACTGGTCTTCCTTGCAGGCAGCATTGTACTTCAAAATAGATCTTTGGAAATGTTTTTGATAATGAATGTTACACCATTCCTCTTGAATTTGTCATGTCCTGATGTAGTAGCCATGATTGTCAAACTCGGAATGGCCAATACTACGCACTAGAGTATCTATCTTTATGCACTCCAATTCATTTTTTACAACTTCCAGTTGTCCCACATTCACACTTTGTACATTCTGATGATTAATGGCTATTTGTAGCTGTTTCTCCTCCTTTTTGAGCTGTGCCCCATCAGCCGATGAAGGTCCTGAGGGCTTTACCGCACTCGCCTCCTCATGGCCCACTCTACTTCGAGGAGGCAGTCCTTTAGCAGTCCTGCTTGGATTTCCCTACAAGCTGAGGGGCCCATCTTCCAGCACCGTATCTCGGCGTGTCCAGCTGCTGTTCGTAGGGCTTCAGTGGCTAAATAGTCACAAGCAGTCCATCACTCCTTCTTCCTAGTCTGTCTTTGTCTGAAAGCTCTACTGAAACCTGTCCAACGTGGGTGACCCTGCTGGTATTTAAAATACCGGGGACATAGCTTCCAGAATCACAGCAACTCACAAGCCACCACATTAGAACAGACTGACAGAGGGCTGATAGACTTGAATGCTTATAGAATATTGGAAATATTTCATGTCTTCAATTTTTTAAATAATGGGTAGAGAGGAAGATGAGACACAACCAACTTGTGAAGAACATTTTCTCTAAAAAATTCTGTGTAAAACGTAATGAAAAGTACAGTGGTGAACAAAAAAAGTTTTTTTATTTTTGTAGCATTGTTTAAATATGCATAGTATGCATGTTAATGAAATTGAACAATTCAGAAAAGCACAAAAATAGGACACTTTGCTTCCACCTGTCCCTTCCTCTCTTCCCCTACAGAAGCCCTGTTCTATAAGTGACTTTTCTTTTAACAGCTGCTTACTGTTCTAAGTATATCCTGTTACATACTTCTTGGTCTAAGTCCGTTCTTTTACATACTTCCGCCTCTAAGCCAGTCCTGTTACATGCTTCCCGCTCTAAGTCCATCCTGTTACATGCTTCCC